CTTAAGAATATAACAACACTCATATTTTTAAGTAAAATATAAAAGTAGTCACAAAATACATTAGATTTGGCATACCTACATTTGAGTTTATATAGGTATGTCATGTGGAAGAGAACAAGATAGCGAAAAATGTGAATATATACATAGAACCAAAGGTTGGAAAAATATAACTCAAAATGTTAGTATATTTCTCTGAATAATTTCTTTTGTACTTATTCATATTTTACCATATTTTCCAAATTGTCTGCTATAAATAGACCTTATAAATAGAAAAATAACTGAAAACATGTTAATAAAACTATGAAGTGGCAAATACTATAAAGGAATTACATGTAGGATGTGATAGGTCTATGTAAAATTAAATGATGCCTGAGTGGAGATAAATAGAAAATTTTCAGGAAAGAAACTAGAGAATGCCATCCTAAAAGCAGGATCCAGGAGAAGTAGAGGCTCAGCCTGGAGTGGTCAAGAAACACTATCATGTGTATAGTTCCTGTTGCCTTAAGTGCAACTTGGGGTAGAGCAGGAGATGACTCCCGAGAAAACAGAGTATCATGCTATGGATCTTAAATTTTACTCTACATGTGCTAAGACATTTAATCAGGGCATTCACTAATAGTCATGCTTGCATTTTTGGTAGATTACAGCAGTGGTATGACATATGGAGAAGGAGGAGCATAAAGGCACAGGGGAAGCACAAGACTCCTCAGGAAACTAGTTTCAGGGAAAGAAATGATGAAGGCCTGAACTAGGACAATATATTGGGAATAGAGAAAAATATTTTATAGATGATTAAGAAATATTTAGGCCTTAATTCCTATTCTGCTTAGGTCATACTGTATTGCTAAATTAGTAACATTAAAACTCATATAAGACAATACTTGGGTGCCTACATATTGTGCCTGTATAATTTTCCCTCTGGAAGAAGAGTTTCAAAGGGGATGGGACAGCCAAGAACTGAAAAAGAAAATTTCATAACCTGTCTTTGGACTAACTTCTGCAAGCCCAGACGAGGCATTTGGGGTGAGAAATTGCTGCTGTCTATCCTAGAACCAGGCCGTGGAGAGAAGAGAGAGGAGTGAGTTGGCAAAGGATTCTAGAGAAAGATCTGCAGGCCTTGATGGCAGATAAGAGCAGATAAGCAAATGTGGAGTCATGTGATGGTCACAGAACAGGCTGTGCAGAGACATAATTTGGGAAGGAAGAGAGTGAGTACTTTTGAGTCATTTTTAGTTTCTGTGGCAGCAGGATTTCCAACTGGCATAAAGACAGTCAGGAATTCACAGAGACAGTGAAGGGCCTGAGCATGTCATGAGAACAGGCTGTCAGAACTGGTTTACTGTCAGTTGAATAAAACTTGGCTGCCCCTGCTGAGGAGGACTCCAGGGCATAGGGTGTAGTGAATTTTCTGACTCTCTCCAGCCCATGTTTTACCATATTCGATATCTGCCTTATGCTTGCGCCAAGTGAGCAAATGTTTTTGTGGTGTAATTCTGAGGTTTCCTCTTAAACTGAGCCTCTTGGCCCTATAAATAAGAATGGTCTAAAGTCCTCCAAGTCGGGAGAAAATCTTCTCCTTCCTCATAGAGAGTGAATATAGAGATTCAAATTCAAACCAAGATGTAAATGACTGATCTTAGCCTTCCTGCTAGCAAGACTTGATGGGCATGAAGGAGATTGGAGGTCAACAGGGACAAGAGAATCCAAATACAAGATGGAGAGGCAGAAAAAAAAGGTTCTGGAGACAGTAAGGCTTTGCAGTAAGTGCAAAGAGCCTGGGTCCAGAAGTCTGAGGCACCTCTGACACTTGCCTCCTGGGGTGATGCCCAGATAGGATCATAGCATCATTTATTTGAAGAGCTCTCTCAATTACATTGCTTGGGGAAGTCAAATCTGGACTAGTCCAAGGGGGCTAGACTACTTTAGAAATCTAGAAGGACAAGGAGGACTACAAACAGCAAATATTTGAAGCTTTTGCAGAAAATTAGAGGAACCCTACAAAAGTGAGCTTTCCACAATGAGATAACAGAGGATTTAAGCTGAACCAGCATGAAAGGCCATAGGTTAAAGTCGCAGGAATATACTATTTTTCAGTGAGGTCTGAGTTCTAAGTTTCAAAGGGACATTCCTGCATTAGTTCTTCCCCAAAATATATTTGGCATTTGGGAGGGTGTGTTTTTACTCAAGGTAAAATTATTTCTTAGGTGAAAAGCCCCAAAGCACAGGAAATATAAGAAAGCAGTAGGTGGTAGGACTAGGGGGACAGGGCTGCTCTTGACTCCAAAGTCTTCAGATTGAGTGCCTGTCACATGACCTCCAGAAACCTGAAAGCTGGAGGAACCATTTTTTCTGAGAAGTCTTACTCAGCAGACACACCACCCACAGTTTCCTCTTAGCAGCTTGTCTGAGTAAGACAAGAGCAGCTGTCTTAATTCTTCTTCTCTCTCCCATCAAAGTGACTCAGAAAAGCTAGCAATTTGCCTTTATTCTTCAGATGGTAGCTCCCTCACAGTGGTAAACAGTCTAATACTCTCCAGAGAACTTTTTTTTCCTTTTGTTTATTGACTTTCTAAAAAAAAAATTTCTTATCTGTAACAGATTTTGTTTTTAGTGTAGAATTGTTGACAATGAGACAGAATGAGGCTTTCTTTATCATTTTAATGCTGGTTAGGCCTATTGGGATATGCAAAAAACATATATCTTGTTGCTATTGTTAATAATTTGTTTGGGTTACACTTCTATCAGCTTTTTTTTTTTTTTTGGCTTGGAGTGGCTGAAATTGCTTTGGCTGGGGGGATGTGGGTGGAATAGGAAAGTCAAAAAGATAGGATAGTATTTCTCTATTAATTACTAGGTAAAAGTGTGTATGTGTGTGTGTGTGTGTGTGTGTGTGCACGTGCGTGTGTAAGACCCTGACTTAGGAAACGTAATTACTTTCCAATTGTAAAAAGCAGAATAGATTATTCAATGAACAATTTTAAAACTGATTTTTTTCCTTTTTTTTTTTACAGAGTAGACCAAGCAGCAAAAACTGAATTTTAATTATCTACTAGAAATTTCTCCAGAATAAAGGGTCTGGTTCAGTCCTATATTGCCTCTGTGGGTCCCAGTCTGTGAAATGCCAAGGGTTGGACTGACCAGGAGTCTTCAGATTACCTCCCACTTCCCTCCACCCCTATTGCTTCTTGCCTACCATATTCCATGGTGCCAGCCAGCAAAGTGTACCTGTTTAATTCTCTAGGTTAGAAAAAATTTCCAAGATTTTTCTCCTTGGCTTTCTATGTCCAATTGCTACCTCCTTTTTAAAACAAAGACAGCAGGCTGGGAGTGGTGGCTCACGTTTGTAATCCCAACACTTTGGGAGACTGAAGCGAGCAGATTACTTGAAGCCAGGAGTTTAAGACCAGCATGGCCAACATGGTGAAACCCATCTGTACTAAAAATACAAAAATTAGCTTGCTGTTGTGGTGCACAGCTGTAATCCCAGCTACTCAGGAGGCTGAGTCAGGAGGATCACTTTAACCTCGAAAGCGAAGTTACAGTGAGCTGAGATCACACCACTGTACTGCATCCTGGACAGCAGAGCAAGACTGTCTCAAACAAAAAATAAATGAAATAAAATAAAATAAAATAAAACAAAACACAGACAACATACCTCCTACATCATGAAGCCTCCTTTAATTCTTAGAAACAAACAAAACTCTTCCAAACTTTCAAAGGGCATTTAAGAATACATATCAGCGTTTCATTAATCTTTAAGGAGAATTTAGTGTATGCTAGGTTCTGGATGAAGCATTTTACATTTATTAATATATGTGGGTAGATACAACTTTAACCTGCATTTTGTGTTAGAGCAGAGAGATCCAAAGATGATAAAGTGACTTGTTCAAGGTCATTGGTAAATGGCTGAGCTACTTATTTGCTGTATTAACAGAGATCATGTCCTGTATCTTTTACCGATGTTTTTGCCATGTCTTATCCATACTACTTTAAGTCTTCACATTTTATCCATTTATTAGCTCATTTATCTCAAGAACATTCTAGTGATGTGGCTATTACCATTTTCTTCATTTTATCAATGTTTTCATCTGTTTAGAGGCTATAACAAAATACTAAAACCTGGGTAGAGTAGAAGCAACAGAAATTAATTTCTTATAGTTCTAGAAGCTAAGAAGTTCACCATCAAGGTAGCAGCAGAGTTAATGCCTGGTAAAGACTCATTTCCTTGTTCATAGATGATACCTTTTAGTTGTGACTTCAGATGACAGAAGAAGTGAAAGAGCTTACTTGGGCCTCTTTTATAAGGGAACAAAACCCATTCTTTAGGGCTCTACCCTCATGACTTAATCACCTCCAAAATGTCCTACATCCCAACATCATTACATTGGTGACTAAGTTTCAACCTATGAATTTGGAGAGGTCACGAACATTCAGACCATAGCAATCAGCGAGTACAGCTTCCCCAATCCATGGGAAGTATGTTGCAGAGCAGAAATTGGGCCAGTTCATTTGACTACGGATTGCATTCTTCCCATGCTGCTGAGCTGCTTTGCCTAGCCTCAGTCAGGTTCATCGTGGCCGTGCTTTTGTAGGGCAGGTCTTTTCCTTTTCCACAGCTACCTGAAGGCCTAAATTGCAGAGATGGGGCAGGATACAGCTCTACACTGGCCTTGTCTTAATTTAAAAATGTCCTGAAAGACAGTGTGGGCAGATCCTTCTCAAGTTATACTACTTCCAACAGAATTGGCAGATATCACTTTATTATTAGCCCATTATAGTTGGTCATAGAATATTAGGAACCAGGCCAATATAAATATTATCCAATGGCTTTCACTGGCCCAAGTCTTGGTATTTGGTTCACAGAATGGTTCCTCTTCTTCTCTGAAAATGGAATAAAAGTTCAGTCCCATTTGGCCAATACACACTGTCTTAGCTTGAGTTGCTATAGCAAGATGCTATAAACTATATTGTTTAAACAATAAAAATTTATTTTTCACAGTTCTGGAGGCTGGAAGCTCAACATCAGAGTGCCAGCATGATCAGGTTCTGGAGAGGATCCTCTTCCTGGTTGCAGACTGCTGACTTCTTGTATATTCCGACAGTAAAAAGAGAACAAGGGAATTCTCTGGAGTCTTTTTTTTTTAATAAGGGTGTTAACCCCATTTAAGAGGGTTCCCCCTTATGATCTAATTATCTCTCAAAAGCCCTACCTTTCAATACCATTGCATGGAATGTTAGGATTTCAACATGTGAATTTGTAGTGGGGTGATGGGGAGAGGGACACACAAATATTTAGTTCATAACGCATGCTAAGAAAAACTGAAGCGGGGTAAAGGGTCACTTAAGTGAATCCCTGCAGTAGTAAAGGATACATTATAGTTCATTCATCTTTTTAGTCAGTAAATATTGAGCACACATTATGAGCTAAATTTTGGGTTCATGTTAGAGCATTGGTGGTACCACAGTAAAATTGACTTTGTCCCTGTCCTCAGGGATTTTATAATTTTGTGAAAGAGATAAGCAGATAGGCAGTTAACGTGCAGGTGGTGATTGCTCATAAAGAGAAAATCAGGGGGCTATGAAATTATAGAAGGTAAGAGTGCTTACCCTGTATGGAGTTGGATACAGAATGCTTGCTAGAGGAAGTGGTGCCAAGTAGCTTTAGACAAGAAGGTGGTGAGGAGAGGATGGAAGTGACCGAAGGAATGAAGCATAGTAGAAAGGAAACACCACACAAGAAGCTGTAGGAGAAAGGAGGAAGCGCACTTCCTGGCAAAAGGGAGAGCACACACATAGGTTAGAGGTAAGAGCTCACAGCAAGGCTGGAGAGGCCGTAGGAGCTCAGCATGGCTCGACTGTAGCTGTACAGGAGGACTGGCACACACTCTGCTGCTTGGAGGTTACAGAAACTGCTGCTCTCTGAGTGTTATGTTATTTATCTATCCACTCATCTGACAGCATGCCAATTCCTCCAAACCTTTGGACAAAAATGTTCTAACATGTTTCAAAATAATTTATATTCAACATACTTAGTATCTTGCTTCAGAAATAAATGGATGAAGAACAGTGTTCTGGCTACCCTGTGTTGTGTAACAAATTGTGTAGTGGCTTAAAATGACAATTACTTTATTACATTCACGTAAGTGTAGGTCAGGGACTCATAAAGGGCTGAGGGAGGAAGATTGTCACACATCTATGGTGTGAAGCTACCTCCTACAAGGTATAGAACTGTCTTGTAGTGGACCACCTGGCTTGTTTAGGGAGGGCGTGGTAAACAGGTGGCGTATAAGAGTTTGCTTAAAGGCAGAATTTCCCCTCTGGTCACTTTGGTCCAGCCCATTCAACTGGGCTTTGCCTGTGTTTCCAGTTTCAGAACTCCTACTTAGAACCTGCGATGGCTTGGCACTCCTTCTACACAAGAGTTTATAAATGGACTTTTGTGACTGGATCGAACTTCTAATGCCACAATGGCTCCTCCTGCATAGCTCTACGTGGTTTCATTTTTCTTCTCTTCTGCTTAGAATTAAGTTTGAATTGAATGCTCCGATATTCTCATAGATATTTTTACAGAAATCTCGTAGATATTCTCATAGATATAGATATGCTGATAGGTATTCTCACATATCTTGGTTTATTTCCTGAGGGTTCTTGAACCTCTCAGTTATTTTTCTTCTTTCATCCCTGCATAATTTGAGAAAACTTATCAAAGTTAGGAGTAGGAACCATGTCTCACAGGCTTCTTTTAAAATTTTTATTTACAAATATGTTTTTCTGAACTGGTACTATATTTACAGAGATAAAAATCCCAAGATGAAAGTGCCAATAAATAGATTCCCTTCCACCATACCATGTGCTTCATAAATCCCCCCAATTTGTCTAGTACAGGATCTCAAAACATTTACTGAATTTTAATAGTCAAGTTCCTCACTACATACACCTGGCACGAGGTTTGGATTTACTGTAAAGCTGACTAATCTTAAGTCTCAGGGCTCCTCACCTGCTTGGGCTCCTTCCAGGTCTTCCAGAATCATATTCAACTTGTTTATATGCCCTACAGTAAATCCAACCCTTGTGCTAGGCATACACATGGAGGAGCTTGACTACTAAAATATGCAATTGTAGTACATTTTAACCACATCATTTCTGTCTGTTGCCCCTTTCCATTCCAACCCTTTGGTATATTCTGCCTCTATAAGGGGGCATCAGAGTGGCCTGTGGCAACTTGAGGATATAGAAAAGGGAAAATCCAAATGGGAATACATTTTATTTGGGTTTAGTGAGAGTTTATGAGCTTTGCAGTCTTTTTGTAAAAAGCTAAGTAATTTTTAAGCATAGCAATGACTGTCAGTTCTATTCCAAACTGCTTGCTATGCAGTTTACCTAGCAGAATAATGTAAAACTGCAGGGCCAGAGTTATTTTGCTATATATAAAAGTGCCCTATAGCACCTACAATTGGGAGTATGTAATGGAAAAGAAGATAGTGTTTATTAATATGAATATTGTTATTTTTCTGAATTTTGTGATGTTTGTGGTATTAATCTGCAGTTTTACATTTGTAATTTGTTCCTGTTTATTTTCTTCATTTTCTAAACACTTTTCATACAGTTTCTTTGGTACTTTGCATTGTTTTCTTAGTGAGGTGTCCAAAATTGTAAGAATGTGCTTTATCCAACAAAATGTTAATCTTCTCTTTTACAGAACTAACCAGCAGATGTCTTTTTCATTTCCTTTGCTTGTGGTTTGCCCATCTGTCAGCTGTGAATGACCCAAACAGCATGACACACTGTTTCTAACTCAACATCCTGGAACTCTCTTGGCCTTTGACAAAGCCACCAGATCACCATCACTATCATTATTTTTTTTATAGAAATTAACCCCAGATGGATTAAAGACTTAAACATAAAACCTAACACTATAAAAACCCTAGAAGAAAATCTAGGCAAAACCATTCAGGACGTAGGTATAGGTAAGGATTTCATGACTAAAACACCAAAAGCTTGGCAACAAAAGCCAAAATAGACAAATGGGATCTAATTAAATTCCAGAACTTCTATACAGCAAAAGAAACAATCATTAGAGTGAACCAGCAACCAACAGGATGGGAAAAAATTTTTGCAATCTACCCATCTGACAAAGGACTAATATCCAGAATCTACAAAGAACTAAAACAGATTTTCAAGAAAAAAACAAACAAACCCATTCAAAAGTGGGCAAAGGATATAAACAGACACTTTTCAAAAGAAGACATATATGAGGCCAAAAAACATATGAAAAATGCTCATCATCACTGGTCATTAGAGAAATGCAAATCAAAACTACATTGAGATACCATCTCACGCCAGTTAGAATGGCGATCATTAAAAAATCTGGAGACAACAGATGCTGGAGAGGATGCAGAGAAACAGGAACACTCTTACACTGTTGGTGGGAGTGTTAATTAGTTCAACCATTGTGGAAGACAGTGTGGCGATTCCCTAAGGACCTAGAAGTAGAAATTCCATTTGACCCAGCAATCCCATTACTGGGTATATATGCAAAGGATTATAAATCATTCAATTATAAGGACACATGCACACGAATGTTCATTGCAGCACTGTTTACAATTGCAAAGACTTGGAACTAGCCCAAATGCCCATCGATGATAGACTGGACAGGGAAAATGTGGCACATATGCACCCGGGAATACTATGCAGCCATAAAAAACGACGAGTTTGTGTCCTTTGTAGGGACATGGATGAACCTGGAAACCATCATTCTCAGCACACTGACACAAGAACAGAAAATCAAACACCACATATTCTCACTCATAGGCGGGTATTGAACAATGAGAACACATGAACACAGAGGTGGGAGCATCACACACTGAGGTCTGTAGGGAGGAACTAGGGGAGGGACAGTCAGGGGTGGGGAGTTGGGGAGGGATAACATGGGGAGAAATGCCAGATATAGGTGATGGGGAGGAAGGCAGCAAACCACATTGCCACATATGTACCTATGCAACAATCCTGCATGTTCACATGTACCCCCAAACCTAAAATGCAATTAAAAAAAAAGAAATCATAAAAATTCAACCATAAAAAGTCATCTTGAGCTGGGTGTGGTAGCTCACACATGTAATCGCAGCACTTTGAGAGGCTAAGTGAGAAGATCACTTCGGGCCAGACATTGAAGACAAGCCTGGGCAACATAGCCAGATCTCATCTCTACAAAAATGAAAAACCAAATTATCTGGACCTGGTGTGCATCCCGTAGTTCTCCCAGCAGCTGAGGTGGGAGGATCATTTGAGCCTCAGCCTCTGGAGTAGCTAGGACTACTCCCCAGTAGTGTGAGCTCTGATCACACCACTGCACTCTAGCCCAGGCCACAGAGCTTAACTCTCTCTCCAACCAAANAAAAAAAAAAAAAAAAAAAGAAAAAAGAAAAAACATTTTGGCTATGCCAATGCCAAAGTTAATGAGCTGATAGATGAAGAAAACAAAAGAGAAAAATCTTAAAGACATCATAAATTGGGGACAGGAGGCAGGAGATGGCTTCTTTGCTGTACTTTCTCTAAAAAACGTTTCTGGTTTTATGCCCAATTTGCTCAGCAGTGTATGCTCACTCTTTCGCTAACCTTGAGAGACACTGTCAGATGCGCACAAGGGAAGAACATGAAGGATGAAAGATAAACTATACACTGACAGAGCACATGGACTCTGAGTCATTTGTTTTCTTTGACAGATCTTTACCATGCTGGATTGAAAGAGAAAAGACCATCAGTAAAGCAAATGGATCAAATGGAGTTATAAATCAACTCTGTCCTCTTTAGAGGATTGACTCAACTGCATACATCTCCAATACATGCCCTTGTGGCTTTATTTGTTTTCTGTTTATGTGGAAAAATACAGTAAACAGAGTTAACTATCCCAAGACAGAAGAGTATTGTCAAAAAAGAATACAATGTTATTGATTTTTCAAGGCAGAATCAGATATTTTTAAACTTTGATTTAACAAAACATAATGCAATTTCTTTTATGAGTTTTTTATGCTTTCCCAATGTTTATTACCCTGTGTGTTTCACACTTCAAAATCAGAGTATCCTAATAAGATCACTTGAGAGGATCCTGATCTAAGTTACAAAATCCCATGGCCTTTATATCTACATTGTCACAGTCTCCCAGTCATCTCTTTCTACTTTATTGAATCTATTATGCTTTATACTTATGTATGCTTTTCTATTTACTTTATATATATAGCATAATGGGGTACATAGTATAAGAGGTAGGATGGTACTAGCAAGTGTTCCTAAGTAGGTTTAGGGAATGGGAATAAGGGTAGGAGGTAGGAAAGCATCTTGGAAAGTTACCAAAGCTTTTTATTTATTTATTATTATTATTTTTTATATAGAGACGGGGTTTCACCATGTTGGCCAGGCTGGTTTTGAACTCCTGAGCTCAAATGATCTGCCCACCTCAGCCTCCCAGGGTGTTGGGATTACAGGTGAGAGCCACCACACCCAGCCATTACAGCTTTTTAAAGCAGGCACTATGGCTGCTTTGTTCTCCATTCTCTACCTAGCACATAAGGGTTCTTGACATTTGGGAGTTACTGTGATACAAGGGAAGGATATATGAGCAGATAAAAATTTATTTTCAGGTAGAGACAACAGCATGTTCAAAGAAGGAGGAATGACAGAGAACAATTTTTATTATTCATTGAAGGCTTAAAATATGCTAAAAATGCTATATGGATATGGTTAAAGATAAATTTGCGTAGTGAGCGCTTTAGTAAACACATCCACACCAGACCTGACTGCTTCACAGTTTTTAGCAATATTCAAAAAGAGGTCATTTACTTGGAAAGAAACAGGTAGTTAGCAATATAATTGAGCTACAGCTGAAACCCTCAAACCTCTAAATTGCAATGTTGTTATTTAAGTGCGTTTCAGGTGGGTTTTTTTATTTGCAACTGAAGCAGCTGAGCTTTATGTCAGATAAGATAAAGATTAATAGGCAGAAAAAGTGACATGTTCTCACAGAGCTGTTCTAAATGTGGTCTGAGGACCAACAGCAATAGTAGTACAGCTTTGGAACTGGATAGAAAAGAAAATTCTTGGGCCCTATCCGACACCTGCTGAATCTTTGTGGGGGCAACCTAAGGCTCTTCATTTTACAAGACTTCCAGGTGATTTTTATGCAGGCTGAAATTTGAGACCTACGGTAGTCATGTGATTTCATAATCTGCATTTCTAATAAGCTACAGGTCCTGCTGGAAGGCAGGCTACCTTTTAAGTAGTCCCGCTATAAAACATTCTGTTTATTGAGTGGACTCAGGCAAGGGTGTCAGAACTTTAAGGGATGCATCCCAACAATTTTCCTCACCAGAGGTAAGTCCCAACTAACTGTGAACACATTCAAGCTAGTTTCTTCCAAAAGGAAGACGTGAAGCAGTTGGGAGACTCTTCTCTGTGTCAGCAAATCAACAGTGAAGAAAACATTTATCCCGCCAGGCGTGGTGGCTCAGACCTGTCATCCCAGCACTTTGGGAGGCCAAGACCAGCCTGACCTGTAAGGTTCGCTGAGAGAAAGGAGAGTAGACCCAAAGTTCGGCAAGCAAGTTTTATTAACCGCTTGGGCTTCCCTGTAACAATCAGAGGTGCAGCCCCAAGCTTATAAAAAGCGGGATTTACAAAGGGTAAGAGGGGCATAAGGGAGTTTCAGGACTGAGATAATCTATCGGCTTGTAACAGGCACAGAGATAGTTAACTTTTGACAGACTTAAAATGCATCATCCTATGACTTTTCTGGTGGCAGTTTAAAAAAAAAGATTTTACAGGTGTGTGTATAACAGGAATTTACAAGTATGGGTAACAAACATTTGTTTTCCCTGTCTTCCCCTGAGCTGCCCAGTTAGGTGTAATCAGGTTTTGCTTCATTGTAGCACCTAGATAGGAGTTCAGGAATGCAGCTACAGAGCAATTACAGTGTGTGTGGGGGGGGGTGGGTCAGCTTGCGTGGAGCGGCTTTTCTGAGGCAGCTTGTCCCTAACATGGCTAACATGGTGAAAACCCGTCTCTAGTAAAATACAAAAATTACCTAGTCATGGTGGCGTGTGTCTGTAGTCCCAGCTACTCGGGAGGCTAAGGCAGGAGAATTGCTGGAACCCAGGAAGCAGAGGTTGCAGTGAGCCGAGATTGCACCATTGCACTCCAGCCTGGGCAACAGAGTGAGACTCCATCTAAAAAAAAAAAAGAAACATTTATCTTACTGTGTTCTTTGGCTACTAGCAACATTTATCAGTCTTTAATGATTAGGAACAGAAAAAGTTATTTAGTGAAAATTCAAAGATAAAGAACTCAGTGCAGCTCGCATCATTTGAAATGTGTAACCCTTCTCTTTAGAGTAGCACCACTGGACAACTTACTCACTTTTACGGACAATAGTGGACAACTTCGTTACAAAGCTCTTGTATTCCTGTGTATTTTAAGTGTGTCATTCTCAGTGGAAAAAGACCGGCTTATCTCTGGGCCCTGTTATCACCCATGTGTTTAGGATTATTGGGAGTTCATGATTGGCTGGCTGATAGACGTCACATGCAGCAGCTGAGATGCTGTTCCGCTAAATAGTTGCTGGAGATACAAAAACACAGATGTTCATGATAATGCTTCTAATACAGAAAAAGTAAAAAAAAGTAATGTATGGGATAGAAAGTTATATAAGGAAGCCAAAAGCTGAGTCATCGGAATGTATTTTGAAATGTTATGACACTGACCTAATGTGATGTATATTTTTAATAAGAATAGAAAGTGCGTGGTAGTTATTGCATATTTATGATAGATATGATGCTGGTTTTATATATAGCAGGGTTTCTCAGCCTGGGCACTGTTTACATTTCCTGTTTGTTGGTGGTAGGAGGTTGTCTTGTACATTGTAATATGTTTAGCAGCATCCTTGGTCTCTGCTCACTAGATGCCGATAGTTCCCCCATTCTTTACTCATGACAAACACAAATGTCTCCAAACTTTGCCAAATGTCCCCTGGTGTCACAATTGTACTTGGTTTAAAACCACTGATTGAGATAAATTGAATCCGGAGAAACACATGCTCCAGTAAGGATAATTTTTAAATAATTTTGGGTAAAATAAGTCTTGCCATTGAACATAGGAGGCAGGGACACGTTATCAGTGATTACTAACTTTCTACTAATTCATTTAGGTGCAAATGAAGGTAAACATCTTTATCCTTTAGGAGATGTCCTGTTTTTCCAAAGCATGTATTGTATAGGGAAGGATAAGTTGTGTCAAAACCATTAACCATTTCTTGCTCTTTCTGACTTAGTGGTATTTGAAAATAGAATACTTTCTGAGGTTTGGGTGGAAAGTTGAAGGAAGTAAAGACACTGCAGATCCCAGGTGGTATGTTCAGCATTTTCTCCTATCCATGGACTTTAAAAGAGAAAAATGATCGTGGAGTTGAACATTTGGCCCCAGAGATGGTATTGTCAATCATCTGAGTTTCTGGACAATGGCCTAAGATATCAGAATGATGAAACTTGGATAATGTAGCTCATCTCACTAAAGTGAGGGGAAACTTGCTTGTCTGGAATAGTTCTCAATATGTGGTCTGCAGAATACCAGTTCTTGGGCCTTGTCACCAACTTACGGAGCTCAGCAGGAAAAGGGGTTTGGAAGTCGCTGAGTTAACATGTAAATTAGCTTTACAGGTTCTCCTTATGCATTATGAGTTTTGAGAATGTCTACTAGATTTTTTGTCAGTTAACAGCACTGTGAGCTAGGGAGAAGGTAAGAGAAAATAAGATACAGAGTAATGTAAAGACAGAAAAATATCAAGTATTTTATAATTCTAAAAAAAGAAAATAAAAAAGACCAGAAAAGATCTATGTTCACATTCACCTGTGAAATTGAGATTAGCACATCAGGCAATCAATATTAATCTTCCTAAAATTACTGAGACTTTCTGGGTTGATCTCAAAATTGGAAAATGGTGGCTTAAGGGTGAACCCATCCCAAAGACAGTACATTTTTGTAGTGTGGGAGTGTTAGATCTGGGGGTCCTGGTCCAGCCCATGCTGTGGTCCGAGGGGAGTGAGTGGATAGGCAGAAAGAACACCTGAGGAGGAGGGGAGACATAGGCAGGTGCATATAGTTTTATTCAGCGGCAGCTCTCATCAACAGCTTACTTAACATTAGCTCTTTACTCTGTGCATCTTTTCTTGGCTGTTTGGCTCTGTGGCTTCTGCTACCTCCACGCCTGCAGCTGCACGGCCTGCTCTCTCTTGCCTCAGGGTCAGAAGCTGAACTCTTTCTCTCTGAGCACCACTGTTAGCCATGGTGTGGCTCTCCTCTGTCTTTAACACAGACAGCTTTGGCTCTCTCTCTTTCTCTGGACACCAGTGCTTGCACAAGAGCGATGCTGAGCCAAGCTGAGACCGAAGAGCCCCTGCACAGTGTTAGCAGGGCAGCTACACCTTTTACAATGGTGGTTCAGAGCCAAGTATGAACTTACACAAATAGGTTATATAACAAATGGAGGTGTGCACCTGCACGCCAAACTCACTGAGTCCTGCAGGCCTGGATATCTGCCTTGGCCTATCCTTGACCAAAGCATAACCATGCACCTTATACCCCACCAGCTAGGCCAAGGGAAACATAGGTTTTGGACACACAGGTTATACATAAAAGTTTGGGCACACAGGCCCAGTATATACCTATGGGCTTATCACATAAGGCTGACACATAAGGTTTGGATACTCAGGCCTGATACATACATAAGCTTCTGGGCATGCAGATCTGTTACACAAGCTTTGCTCAACTGCCCAGCTCTTGGTGCAGATTACCATAGGTGTCACCTCCTTGGTGATTAACATCCACATTGCCCTGTGTTTAGCTTATTGGCAACTTTGCCTACACCTGGTTTTAAGCCAT